ATGAATGAATGAATGAATGAATGAATGAATGAATGAATGAATGAATGAATGTCAGAATGTGAGATGGGCAGGTATCTAAATCGCTTAAATAAATAAATACATGCCCAAATGGTATGTTCATTCCCATATTACTTCCCTTCTACTTTGCCATGAGAAAGATTCGGGGAGAAACGGATTGGCTCAAAGTCCCCTCGGAAATGTTACCGGTGTTTTGAACTTGGATTGTTCTTATCCCCGTTTGACAATCTAACCGCTACATCACACTGTCTCTCTAGAAAGCATTATATGCTGGTGCATTAATGGCAGTAACTATCATCATCATCGTTTAGGGAAACTAAATCTAGACATTAATTGGCCATCTGTCATCATCATCATCATTATTTACAAAACCTAAATCCAGACCAGTGTTTCTCAACCTTGGCAACTTTAAGATATTCCCCAGCTGGCTGGGGAATTCTGGGAGTTGAAGTCGCCATATCTTAAAGTTGCCAAGGTTGAGAAACACTGGTCTAGACATTTATTGGCCATCACCTTCATTAAAAAAAACCCTAAATCTAGGCATTTATTGTCCGTCCATCATCATCATCATCTAAAAAAGCTACATCCGGTCATTGATTGGCCCTCCTTCCAGGCCTTTGCCCCTTCCTCGTAGGCTGCCCCCCTTGAGGATGAACTGGCAACTCCTCGGGGCAGAGCCTTGGCACCCTTTTGAGATCTTTGCAAGCGCCGGAGCCCACACTGGCAACCCTGAGCGGAGGGGGGCCATGCCCCCTTTTAGAGGCCCGCCCGAGGGATGATCTCCGAAGCGCCGCAGGAAAATCCTCCCTCCCTTTCCCCCCACTACCTCAGAGACGGAGGCGCGGCGGCCGGTTTGGGGCTCGGGGTGGACCCTGGAGGCCCGACCACCCCCGCTGGATCGCACAGAGCGGACATGCCGGCCCCGGCGAAGAAAACCTGGGAGCGACCGAAGCGATTAAACCCCCTTTTTTCCCTTTCTTTCCTCTTCTGCGCCTGCGCACGCTGGCTCCGAACCTTGGGGGAAGAATAAAACCGGGACACGAAGGGTGTCACCTGACGAAGAGTTCGACTCGGGTCTTCAACCCTGGAAAGAACGTTCCGCTCGAGGTTCAGCTTGCAGTTCATCTCTATACAGAAAGGAAGAATCCTTCCGTTTGAATGCTGTGCAGCTTCTGTTAGCTATAGCAGCTGGGCCTCTTCAGATGTGCTTTCTTGCAACTCCTGTTGTCCTCATTTCATGCTCTGTAGCCATAAGGAGAGGCTTGTGTTCACTCTTCCTGGTTGAGATTAGGCAGCACACAACCCTACCAGCTTGTGGCATTTTGGAGAATAACTCTGCGCTGGTTAGCGAGCACAATAAAGTATTTCAGTTTCCGATAGTAGTTGGAGGTGATAGCATTTCACCAGTTGTGATTTGAACCCAAAACACCAACCACACCTGGTTGATACGTGGATGAGAAATTAACTGGTGAACCTGGAAAGCCAAAAACTTCAGATTTCCCATCTATTGTTGCCAAAAAGAACACAGCCCTGCATGGATTTATGCAGCTATTAATCCACCTAGACTCCTGCTTAATTTGAAGGTGTATCATTATGCAAATATGGTGAAATAATGTTTCTGGAGGAACATCACCGGGTTAAAATAAAATATTAAATCCTTGGCACAGGGATATTCCACTGACAAGAGACTGTTCAAGGTTGCTGCAACTTTTAATTTATTATAGAGACTATTTTACCACTAGCAACAGTAGAAGGTAACACACCAGCAAATAAACTACAAACAGCCAACAGTCACCGGTTTGAGACGGACAGCTATACAAATTGAATAAAAATGAACTTCACCTTTCTTTGATCACAGGGCAGCTGTCCTCACACAGTGAAAGACAGGAAATTTGGCTAGCGTAGCTGTTTTAGTCTATTGCACTAAAAAAATGAGTTTTGGGGTTAATGGCTGTTACATGCTTTATAGTTACAGTGACCTTTATTATAAAGGACAATCTTTTCTTTCAGAAAGCTGTCCTTGCAGATTTATTTTTCAAAAACTCACTTTGTCCTTTATTTTGGTCATTTTAATTTTACCGTAGCGACGGTACCCCTTAATGTGGTTTTTCACATTCATGTGAAAAATACAGAAATTGAATTCTTTTTAAAATAAACTATACATATTTTTTTTAATATGCATTTTAAAGTTTTTCTCAGTTTTGCTCTTGAATTTCCCTTTGTAAAGCAAAGTTCTACCTATAAACCGTTAAATTTTTTATCCTTATCAACATCTTTCAGGTTTGCCCTTTATTTTTTCCACTTTATAATGTAATTTCTCCCCTCCCTCTTTTCAGATTGAAAAGTACTGTAACCCCATTTCCTCTTACCTTTGAATATCCTGCAACAGACTGGATTCCCATATTATGCAAGCCATAGTAATATTCAATTATGGTAGTGTATTACTATTATTATTATATAGTCAATTCAGTCGCTGTGGCTTATTAACAATAGTTAATGACTCAATATGGTTCACAGTTGTTGATTTGTGCCTTGAAGCAGTCTTGACTCCAGCAATAGCCTGGACAGTTTTGGGGCAGCGTTTTCGGAAACATTTTGCCCTTTCTTTCTGGAGAGAGAGGGACTGGCCCATGGTCACCCAGCTGGCTTCGTGCCTAAGGCAGGACTAGAACTCACATTTTCCTGGTTTCTAGCCTGATGCCTTCAACCACTCCTCATTTCATAGCTTAGCTATATTTTATTCAATAACCACTATCAAATACCCCATGGTTTAGCACAATGTACCAACTAGCCATACTCTTTCCCTTCTTCCTCACAACACAAAGAAAAAAATTATTAAAGCAAGACAGAGTTTTTTGGGCCATTTTATTGTATGGATCAGAACACAAACAATTTCAACAAGTGGAAAACAGAAATCTTTGCCTCTGCACTTCCCTTTCAATTGAAATTGGTCACCGACACTTAAAAAGTTGCCATCTCACATATGTGCAAATTTACTAAACACACGTGCAGTTCCAGGTATCTGTGCCATAATCCAGCAGAGTCACTGGAATTCTTTAAAAACTAGTCCACACCCTACATGTAAAGCCTGTCTCTTATTGAACACCCCTTTAAGGTGCAACATCAGGCCCGACAAACTTTAAAATATTTTGTAGCTCCTCAAATTCAGGAATCGAGGGATGCTCGCCAAGAGAAAAAGGAACACTCACACCTCTCAGATCTTGGTTTAATGGGTTTCAATTACTTTCAAAAGCAAACAAACTTTAGGGTGCTAAACTAGTTCAGAAGCTGAGTTTTCTAGGTGTTTTGGCAGCCTGTCTCTCCCCCTCCCAGCCCTACCCTCATCTTCCAAGAATGCTGCTACTGGTAGGCTGGAAAAGAGAGCAAGGAACTGGGTTTCAAGATTTCAGAGGCCAGGCTCAGCTTTCCAATGCAGGTGTAATGTCCGCTTCTGCCATCTCCACATCTGGACAGCCTGATGGAGTTACCTCCTTTTTCTTCTTCCTCTTTCCACCCTGAGCTGGAGCGGCATCAACTGCACAGAAAGAAAGGGAAAAACAGTGAAAAGTCACCCCGCCTTCAAAGCCATAAAGCTGCCCTCCATTGCACAAGGGACTTGCAGACCTCTGATCCAGTTTCTGGAAAGTAGTAAACTAGTTGTCCTTGGTTGGAAATGTTAGCATGGATGACCTCGAAGGATCCTTCTAACCCTACAATTCTAATAATCCAAGAAGGATGGAATAACTGGGGGAAGAAGCAGGAAGGATTAACTGTATTCTAAAAACCACACTCCCTGCCTTTTTAATAAACCAGCTAAGTGGATAGATAACCTTGGAATTTGATCTTGGCCACCCCAAGCTTTCCTGTTACATTTATTCTTCCTTACTCCCAGTGTTTTATAAGCCAATTCTCCTCCATCTACTTAGCCCTTTGGTTTCATAAACTCCAGGATTAGGGAAGGGTTTTTCTGTTACTGTATCTCATACGGTCGGCTGTGCTACTAAAAAAACCAGAAAGGTCTAACCAAATCAAAGAAGGCTTGGAAATGCCTTAAAGGCAATAATTAGCCATTGATCGCACAACAAGAGAGAGCAGAACAAGAAGTTAAAAACTCATAACTCGCTCCCACAATGGGGAAACCTTCTGCCTTCCACATCCCTCGTTCTTTCACCCAACTGGAGGGAAGACAGTTTACCCTGCATCTCTGTTTTCTCCTTAGTGGCATGGCGCAGTTGTTTCAGTAGTTTTCTTTTCTTCTTCCCTGAGAGGGTGATGTTTGCCCGAGAACTAGATCTGGAAGTGAAGAAGGGAGTGCCAAAAAGAGGAAATTGTTTAAGGCCAACTCATTAATTGAAGAAAAAAAACACCATTATCCTCTAAATCAGTCTTTCTCAACCTCGTCAACTTTCAGAAGGCTGGACTTCAACTCCCAGAATTCCCCAGCCAGCAGGGGACTACTTGTATAAAAAAATAAACTGGGTTTTTGGGGGGGATTCTGGGAGTTGAAGTCCACCCCTCTTAAAGTTGCTGAGGTTGAGAAACACCACTCTAAATGCCAATGCAGCTTTCTTCTGTTAAGGTCTCTAAGGTAAGCAGTGGCCCCATTTCTTCCAGAATCCTGAATTAATACTAACCATTTGGATCCCCCTCCTCATCGGGGGCTCTAACCATTTCCTGTCTGTTTATTCACTCGGGGAATGAACTCAGCAAGACCTCACGGCAAATCTTGTGTCTGTTACCAGCACAACTTTCCTTAGCCTTACATCTTTCATATATCTTGCACTGTATTTCCGTTATTACCTGAGAAGAATGAGAATTGTAGCTGTTGTCCTTTCAGAAAGCCTCTTTACTACACCAAAGTTTTCTTTGAGAGTACCTTCACTCCTAGTAAATTTCGTAGGCACACGTATGTAATTTTCTTGGCAACAATACAGAAGTGGTTTATTGTTGTCTTTTTCAATGGTATTTTTTCCTTTCCCTGTCTAGCCTACCTCCCAGGGATCTCTTAGTGGTCTCCCATCCAGCCAGGACCACCGGCTTAGCTTTTCAAGGTTGGAACGTTAAAAGTCCATGAACTTACAGGGTGAGAGGCAGAGGTTCTGAACTGCAGTTTCAGTTCAATAAAACTGAATCCTCCCACAAGCAACTATAAATAAAAAAAGCCAAGTTCTGTTCTTAATGTTTCTCTAGATACTGGTTTCTGATCCAAGTCCGAAAGATAACTTGAGTGTTTATCCCATAGGCCTTCAATTTCTTTGCACCCAGAAAACGTGACTCACGATCGCTTTTTCAGATGGTGAATGGTGATAAGACCTTCATCCACCACAGCTCCCACGATCCGATGTTTCCTTCTCTTCTGTTTGCTCAGGACGCGGCGCCTTTTGAAGAGTTTTTTCCGCAGCTCCTGAAGCAAAGAATGAGAAAACGCTAGAAACAGCAGTCACTACGAATACAGTTCGTCTTTGCTGCAGAAAAATGGCAGTTTAGCACAAACTAAACAGAAGAAACTAATCACCCAGAATCCCTAGGAGTCTAGTGGCAGATAAATTTAATAAATAAATAAATAAAATCCTGTGGTTTCTGTGTCATTCTAGACGCAGGCTAGGGAATTCTGGGAGTTGAGGTCCACATATTTTAAAGTTGCTAAGGTTGAGAGACACTGTTCTAGAAACCAAGGAAGAGGTTCTGCATTCAAACACACTTTTCTCTGGCACACAAATGTGTGGGCTATACAACACACGTCATCTGGTTCCTGAATGACCATATTCTAGCTCTACAGAATGCAATAGATCATAAGCTAACTAAACGGGGACTTAACATACCACACAACCAACAAGGTTGTGGCCACATTGAGCATCCACGGTCAAAGGAGTCACTCGTGTTCCCTGACCCGTTTAAACACGTGTGTACACAGCCACTTCGCTGCCTTGGGCAAGTCAACGTTATTACTTTTTATATTGGCACTACCGAGAACATGGAGTTTATTCAGCTCAAACCTAAGGAGGCGTGTTGGGTCAATTCTGTTACGTGTAATCACGACTCGGGAACAAGGAACTGCCTTACAGCTGGGATATACCGCCCACTTCGGAAGTTACACCACCGAGCAGCAGCATCTCACCCAGCGGTTCTTCAACGGCTGAATTTAATTTCCCTTTTTCGAATATTATTTATTTATTCATTTATTTATAATTTAGACACCGCCCATTTCACGAGGAAGTGACTCTGGGCGGCTCACAATAAAACAACAAATAAATATTAATTAAAATGCAATAAATACAGTATAAAAATACAGTAAAATTTAACGCCACGACCCCTAAAACACAGGCCCTGATGCCTTGACACAAGCAGATCCTCGACTCCCAAACAAGCAAGGACAAATTGCTCCACTACCTCAGGACATACTCCTGATCTAAACACTTTAACAAATTAAAAACTTGAAAATTAAAGTGGTTTTTTTTTTTTAAATCCTAGAATTACCGTCCGCGGCCGGTTGATTTTCCCGGAAGGCGCGCCCATGTTATAACCACGTGGCGGACTTCTTTTGATTGTGGATTTAATTTCCGGGTAGGCGCCGCGGGGGTCACGTGACCTCCCGACGCCGCGCCCCGGGGCGCCGCGCTGTTCTGATTGGTCCAAAGAATCGACCAATCCGAACGGGAACTGAGGTGGGCTCCTCCCTTTAGTCCGGCCTCCGGCTTTATGAATCGGGCCACGTGGCGGCTTCCCGGGCTCGTAGTAGGTTTCCTCGCGGCCGTTTGAATTTTGCTTTCTGCAAAGGAAGTAAAGCGGGCGGGGAGTTCTTTTTTTTTTTCTCCTTCCAAAGGGATCGGGTGGATCCCTGCTCCCTGCCTTTCTCCTGATCCAAGGCAGGAGTTCGATTTCTTTTCCTCCCTGGAGAAAACGCGTCTTTTTCCGTGTGGTTTTATTCTCTTTATTTATTGAATTTATATATCATCTCACATCCGTAGCGTTTGGCGCTGCCTGCCAAGAGAAGCGAGGATTTTCTTCTGGCGAGAATCAGAAGAAGCGGGAGAAGAAGGGCGTCCTGAAGGCCCCGAAATGTCCAGGAGCCACGTGGGGGAAGATCCGAGGCCGCGGCGGCGGAGATCCAACGCCGCCGTCGGAGGTCAGCCGGGCGACCGGGGGAAGCCACGAGGAGGCCGGAGCAAGGCTGATCCGCGCCCGCCGCAGACTCCCGGGCTGCTAGGAAGGGACGATGCGTGAATCAGATCGTCTGGCCTGCGCGCGGCCTCGAGGATCGGAGACGCGGGCAAAGAGGGACGTCGGAAAGGGAGAGAGAACAGACACGTGGCGCCAGGCGCGATCCGGCTGCCACGTGGGCCTCGGGGTCCCTCCCGAGATGTTTTTTCACGAGCGGGCAGAGCCAGCCCCCCCGACACGAAGACGCTGCCTCGTTCTGCTAAAGAGAATTGGCTGGGGGATTCTGGGAGTTGAAGTCTACCCGTCTTAAAGTGGCCAAAGTTGAGAAACCCTGCCGTGGAGGACGGGGTGGGAAAAAAATTCGCCCGCAAACGCAAGGAAAGACAACAGGTAGGAGACGATCGCTTTAATCCGGACTCTGCAGAGCACGGGTGGAGCAAAACGGATGCAGAAGGGGTTGGGGGTCTTCCTGCGGGGAGTTTAGGGGTGACACCCCCCCAAATCCCACAGCCAACCGCAATCCTTCTCGCTCTCTCCTGAAACCAGGTTTCTATTTCTTTCCAAGCCTGGGGGACCACACCTCCCATGATCCACAGCCAGGGCTGAGGAGGATGGGAAGCCCAAGCCAACCTATTGAATGGGAACCACGTTTTGGGGAGGGGAAGCTGGTGTCATTCCAGGAAAAGCAAGTCCTCCCATTCTTGGCAGGGCTGGGTTTTCCCGTACCCGGCTCTGTAATGTGCGGAGGGAGAGGAAACTTGACCCAGCGTCATGTCTTCGGTGCCAGCGGCTTTCCCGTCTGCTGGTTCTATCCTCAAGCGCTGGGACAAAGCTAGATTCCGTTTGGTGTAACCCAGGCTGGATCTCTGGGTGGGATCCACGTCCCGTGAGTTGAAGATGGTCTGATTTGGGAAATTGCACGGTAACTTGGGGAGGTGGGTTCACATGAGACCCGGTTGGCTTTAATGTGGCTTATTGGTTTGAGGGCATCGTAGCCACTAGGGTTAGGGTCATGCTAATTTGGTTTGCGTGAATTCTCACAATTCTTTTTTTTTCACAAGGGGTTGGACCAGATCCAGCGGTGACCAAGGCCCCGTGAACTCCACCGGACGAAATTAAAGGGCACCCAGGATTGACTTTGAAAAATGTCTCCAGTAAATTAATGTGATGCATTTCTTCGCCTGTATTTTTTTTTTTAAGTTACTCTAAGCTGTTACCAAGAATGTACGTTTTTAAAAAGAGCCAATAATGACACTTTATTTTAAAAACAATTGGTAAAAGTCATGCCTGGCACTCCACAGTGGTTAAACTGGCATTCACTGATTACAGAATACAATTTGAGAGCCAGAAACCTGTCTTTGGCCCACAGCCCTGATTCACAGCTTAAATTAAGACCCAATTTATCTCTAAATAATAGTAATTCTATTAGTTTAAAATCTCTAAATTGAGGATGTTGTTCTGCTTTCGGCCTTCAAACTGGCTATTAAGCCACTGAAAAGCTTGATTAATAACAGTATATCGGAAAAAAATAATTTGTGGCTGAGCATTGAGTTGCTGTTATATATCCATTATGTTATCCGTAATTGTGGCAGGTTTCTTTTGTCTTAAGAGTTTTCTTTTTTACGTGCAGGTTTCTATTTTGTGGAAATGGTTTTTTCCCCTTTATTTCTGTTTCTATAATAAATTATATTTGAAAAGCCGTAGTTTGTTCTGGATCAATCGCAACCGATTAAAACTGGTTTAATGGTGGGGTTTGCACGAGACAAGGTCAAAAGTGAAGAAAGTGGTTTATGAAATTAGCAGCTGGGGCCAAACGTTGGCCCATAAAGGAAGGGGGTTTAGTTGGTTTAATGCAGTGTTTCTCAAACAGCCACTTTAAGGTGTGGGGCTTCTTCTCCGCCACCAAATCCCCCCCACCCTCCGGAGGCGGGGGGAGGGCAGTGGGGG